ACTACCACCCCTAAGGCAATGACTCCCAAACCTCTTCTTAAGCTCCAGACCTAGTTAGCTCCATAGACAGATCCTTCGGGACTTCCTAATGATTCTTCAAACTCAACATATACAAAATGGAACTCAGTATTTTCCCAAAACTTCGTTTTCCTCATATATTGTCAATCTCTCTGAGAGAAGCTTTCCTAATCACCCAATCTACACTAGTTACCCCATCCCATGTCACTCTCTATTAAATTTTCTTGTTTTATTTTCTGCACTGAACTTATTGTCTGATATTTTATTCTCTACTTATTTTCCTGGTAATTGCCTTTCCCTATTCTTCAAGGTAAGCTCCAAGAAAACAAAAACCTTCAGTAGAGGATCTTTAATACCTGAAAGAGCCCTGGCACATAGTGGGGTGGTCAACTGATATTTGTTGAATGAATGATAAATAAATCAGACCACTGCCTCTCTCCTGCTTTATCACCAAACTCTCCATCTGGACACTTTCACTCTGACCTCTAGTTACACTAAACTAATTAAAGTTCCATGAACCCACATATCTGCTTCAATCTCCATGCCTTTATTCATGCTCTACCTCAGCCTAGAATATCCTTTTCACTAAATGGTGACTTCACTCGTTTTGAAGATTTAGCTCAAGTATTCCCTTTGGAGCCCTCTTTCTTTGTAATGGTCTCTGTCATCTCTTATGAATTGCAAGCTCCTGTAGAAGATACAAACATACCCTAGTATTCCCTCTTTTAAAACTGAACCTACATTCCCCTCTAGGTAGTACTTTATTTCTCTTCTCCCTTATACATCCAAAATTTGAAACAGTTTTCTACACATGGCAATAATGGAAGAATACAAGAACAAAAAAGACATAAGATATACCGGAAACAATTAGCAAAATGGCAAACTACTTTATCAGTAACAAAATTAATGGACTAAGCATGCCAATCAGAAGGCAGAGGTTGTCAGAATGGATAAAACACACACACACACACACACACACACACACACACAATCCAACTATATGCTGTCAACAAGAGACACACTTCAGATTCAAAGACACAAATAGGTTGAAAGTAAAAGAAGTTCATTCATGCAAAGAGCAATCAAAAGAGAGCTGGAGAGGCTATAGTAATATCAGACAAAATATACAAATTTACTAGAGACAAAGAAGGGCATTTTATAAAGATAAAATTGTTGATCCATCAAGAAGATATACCAATTATAAACATATATACACCTAATAACAGAACCCAAAAATACATGAAGCAAAAGCTGACAGAATTGAAGAGGTATAGACAGTTTGCCAACAATAGTTGGGGACTTGAATACCTCACTTTCGATAATAAATAGAACAACTAGGCAGAAGGTCAACAAGGAAATAGAAGACTTGCAGAACACAATAGACCAACTGGACATAACAGACATATACAGAACACTCCACCCAACATTTTGAATGGTTATGAATGTTTGCTTCAGGATTTTAGGCATTAATCAATTAATGCATGCTTATCACTACTTGTCTAGTATCATGCTTTTCACCATAGGGGGCACAGAAGATACAAAGTACTAACTTCAGTTTCAAGGTGGAGCAATATGGCTGGGAAGAAAACATACATATTTATAAAATAACTTTATGAAATAAACTGTACTTATAAAAAAGACTGCATGCAATCTCGTCTTAAATAAAGAGAGGCCATAAATACAGACATCAGGATTTACAGGAAAAACCACAGAAGTGTCTTTATTTTTATTTTTTTTGTGAGGAAGATTAGCCCTGAGCTAACTTCCGATGCCAATCCTCCTCTTTTTTCTGAGGAAGATTGGCTCTGGGCTAACATCCATGCCCATCTTCCTCTACTTTATATGGGACGCTGCCACAGCATGGCTTAACAAGCGGTGCATTGGTCTGCGCCTGGGATCCGAACCTACAAACCTCGGGCCGCTGCAGCAGAGCGTGCAAACTTAACCGCTACACCACTGGGCTGCCCCCACAGAAGTGTCTTTAAATGCCAGCTTTTGGATTTATAAAGTTCACAATCTTAGGCAAGGTGTTGAACCAACATGATTCTTAACTTCTTCATCTGTAAAATGGGGATATCTGTAATGGTGATAATTAGAGATTATGTATGTAAAGTATATAAAATGATACCTGGCAAATAGAAAGTATTCAATAAATGATCACTCTCTCTTTCACCCAAAAAACACACATAACACACACAATTACTGTGGTTGAGTAACCTAGGTTTAGTCAAGGAACACACTGTATATAAACAGAGTCCTAAGCTAGGTTTTGATCAAAGGGCAGGATTTGATTGACATAAAGAGGAAAGAAGCTTGAGTGCTGAAATGAGAAGTTAAATTGGATTAAAAGGCACTGAAACATTTATACTGTACATGACCAGATAAGGGGGAAAGTTTCTCTCCAAAATTTGCCCCTCAAGTATTCCAATTGTGTTTAAGTTCCTACATAGTCTTTCATATTAAAAGAGATCGACAATTTTGAATAACCAAATACTATTTGGGGAGGACACATAAGCCTGAAATGACGTCAGTCAATGCTAGTTTTAGATGCTTATAGAGAGCACTAGAAAAAAATTGTTACATATCCAATACACATTCAGGCAAATAATAACTGTCTTTTGGCAATTTGGGCAATTTTCCCAGGAGTATTGCCTCGTAATCGGGAGTGTTGAACATTGTGGCACCCGAGCCTCTTTAAAGATCAGTTTAAAAAGCAATGAAGTAAGTAATTACATTTGAGATCACAAAAATTCCTTTATGGCGGAAATAAAAAGAATACCTGTCTTAATAATATGCAAATGACAACTTGTCTTTGGGTTGGAATATCTGTTGAGGAAGATGATAAGCCTTGAAGAACCACTGGCTGACTTGATGAGTGTCTTTAATGAGGACAAAGACACGGATGCCAAGGATGTATATAAAGATTTTGGATACAAGTATCTTGAAATTTATGAGTGCAAAAAAAATTTCTTAAAAATCGCATAATTCATATAATTTGTAATTTTAAATAAGCATGAATAACTTATGATGGTTTGACATATGATTTTTCAACTTTACAATAGTGTGAGAACAATACACATGTTGTAGGTACTGTACATAGAATTTTGAATTTTGATCTTTTCGTAGACTAGCGATATGCTGTACGATCCTCTCTCATGATGCTGGGCAGTGGCAGCCCTGGCAGCTCCCGGTCAGCCACATGATCACTAGGGTAAATAACCAATACAGTGACAACCATTCTGTACCCATCCAACCATTCTGTTTCCCCCTTTCAGTACAGTATTCAATAAATTATGAGATCTTCAACACTTTGTTATAAAATAAGCTTTGTATCAGATGATTTTGCCCAACTGTAGACTAATGTAAGTGTACTAAGCACGTTTAAGGGAGGCTAGGCTAAGCTATGACATTCAGTAGGTTAGGCGTATTAAATGCATTTTTGATTTATGATACTTTCAATTTACAATGGGTTTATCAGCACATAATCCCATCATAAATCGAGGAAAATCTGTAAATAAATTAAAATTATAAATAGCTATTTGTCTCATCTATATCCCTAAAAGTCCTACATATTCAAGCTGTTCAAAATCCTCATTGTGGGAGAGGATAGGTCTCCTTTGGGAACATATAGTAAGTTCCTAAGCAGACCACAGAGACATCAAGGTAGAGCTTCTGAATGAAGAGGTGTACAGCACGAGGTCAAACACAGAAACATGAGGGCAAGACTACCATCATAATCCATGAGAGGATGATGAGGGTCAGGGTGATGGCAATGAGAACAGAGAGAGGGAGATCAATCCAGAAGAACACACAGGGAAAGGATGGATTGTTTCCTTTGACAACCAAGAGGCCTTTGGTTTCCTATAGTTAATGACTCCAAAGCTTTGGGGCTGGGAGCCCAGGAATGATGGTACCCAAGAGAGAAATGCAGATGTTGAAAGAATGAGTAAATTCAGATGAGCAGTGAGTTAAGTTCACACATGTTGAACTTTGGGTTATGGCTAGACATTGAAGTGGACATGTCCTACAAGCTGCTTTTATAGTGAACTAGCCAAAATTTCCTCTAGGTATTTCAGTAGTTCAAATATAAACACTGAGTGCTTACTATTGGCAAAAAATTGAGAGCACTAGAGATGAGCACAGAAATGAACAAACTCCAATCTAGACCCTCAACATGCTTCTAATTTTGGAGGATAAGTAGAACCTCTAGAGTTTCTATATATAGGAAGGTTTTAGGGGCAACAATCTGGTTGGAAGTTGGGCTAGAGAATTTGAATTAAAGCAATGCTTCAGGGCAAGCATAATTCTGTTTATTTAGGGTGGTAGCATGGGGGTGCTGATGGTAATGGAGAGACATAAGGCCCCACTTCGCCCAATAACTTCTTGGTTCTACCACTGAGTATGAAAACTGCACTTAATGCCATGAGAAATGCATTTAATGCCATGAGAAATGCAAAGTACCTATAAATAAGAAGAATATTTAGTGTCTAAAATGGGAATGAAGTTCAGGTTAATAAGTAAGGGCTGAAAGTAGAGGCTTGGCATCAAAGCCAGAAGACAAGATGAGCTCTTGGAATAAAGGAAGTTCTGCCAAGAGCTAAAAGGGTAGATTTCAAGGTTAAGGGCAATTCTCCTAATGCCTCTAATTGAGATTTGCGTCTCCACTTGAGAAATATATCCAGGTCTAAAACTGTGCCATCAATATGGTAGCTGCTAGCCACATGGAGTTATTTAAATATAAATGAATTAAAACAAAATAAACTAAATTTAAAATTCAGTTCCCCACTCATCCTAGCCATATTCCAGGTGCTCAACAGCCAGCTATATGTGGCAAGTAGCTATGATATTGGACAGCATAGATTACAAAACACTTTCATCGGACAGTGCTGAAGCATCACAGGCAATGAAGACAAGATAAGGGATCTACACTGTTCTTGAACTTCTAAAAGGGACGTGTACAACCTGTACAGAAACATCCTTACCTTGACCATAATGATGGTAACTCTTCTTGTAAGTCAACATTAAACTCCTCAAACACTTTCTGTGCTTTCTGAAATTCCTCTTCTGCCTAGAAATGATACAAAATATGTGTTTACACCAAAAAAAATCACATAAACACAAGCCATTTCTATACACAGCAACATCATTTAACATAAAACAGGAATAGTTTTATGGCATCCTGGAAACATTTTGGGAAGGAAAGAAACCTTGTTAAAATCCACACGATCTTTTTCAATATAAGTAAAATATTAAATTTTACTTAAAAAAGAAAACTGGATTGATTACAATGGTTGCTCTGGCAGTGTCTGATAGCTTCATTCATTCTACAAAAATGTGTTAACTGCCTCTCACATACACTGCTCTGCTTGGAATACTAGACATGGATGCTTCCCCAAGAAATTCCCCGTCTAGTGAGAAGTCTAAATAATTACATTACAAGATAGGGCTTACAAGCTGTTATGGAGCATGCTACTGGGGAATATGGTGCAGAAAAAAAGAGAAGGTTCCAAAGGGAACGTGATATTTTAACTGAATCTTGAAGAATCAGCAAATGTTTGCTAAAGGAGGTGGAGAATTATTGTAATACATAAAGGTGGAGTTCCTTCCGTTGGAATTCTAGCTTACTAACCATGTGAACTTGTCAGATTGCTTTACCTTTCTGCAACTCAGATACCTCATCCAAAACATGGACATAGTAATGCACACCTCACAGGTGTTGCGTGTATTAAGGAAAGATGATGTAAATGAAGTGTTGAACATGGTGCCTAGCATCTCTGGGGCCTCGCATGAACGGCAGCCATTATCGTGGCTGCTCAGAAGTAATGCAAAGGTCATGGAGGCTCTAGCTGAGGAGGTGTATGGAAGAAGGAAAGGAGGGGAAAGAAGACTTGAAAGTTGACAAGGATGACTAGGTGAGTCACAACCAAATTGTATAGGTTGCATATGCTATGCTAAGGAATTTAGAATTTTTTTCTACAGTCAATGGGAGCCAATAAAAGACTTACACAGAACAGAAAGATATCTAGATACGTGATGCAGAAAGACCATTCAGGCAGCTGTGTGTAGGAAGATAGGAGGAGGCAAGACTGGAGGCAAAGGGAGTAGTTAGCAGGTGTTTTCAGTTAGTTGGTATCTGTAAATGACTGATGTACATGGTAAAAGGCTACTAAAATGGGTTTTCTAAAAGAAAATGAATGTATGCAAATCTAGCACATATCTGTACTCTCATACAATCACACGTTAAACTGAGAATTTCAAACTTGGTTTTCCATCTGAATCTGCATTTTGGCATCAAGTATGGACCACGACCACAAAAAGAAGTGCAGGGAAACTTATTACTTTCTTTGATCCTGTAGTATTGTTGGGGGCCATGGTTTCTTCTGATCAAAATGTGTGATGCAGGGGCCGGCCTGGTGGCGTAGCAGTCAAGTTTGCGTGCTCCGCTTCGGCGGCCAGGGGTTCACCGGTTCGGATCCTGGGTGTGGACCTACTCACCGCTCATCAAGCCATGCTGAGGCAGCATCCCATATAAAAGAGCTACAACTCTACAACTATGATACACAACTAGGTAGTGGGGCTTTGGGAAGAAAAAAGAAAAAAAAAAAAAAGAGGAAGATTGCCAACAGATGTTAGCGCAGGGCCTATCTCCCTCAAAAAAAAAAAAATCTTCCTAAATTATTGAACGTGTGTATGCGTGTGTTATTAAAAAAAAAAAAATGTGAGTCAGTGTCACCCATGTGAACTCTACAATAACATGAAAAACCTTATTTTTATTAAAAATTATGGAAAGCAGCCCACAAGTACCATGTTTCAGTTTAAATTCTGTTCTGATTCAAATCTCCACTAAAAAGGAAATATTTAATTTTAAAAAACAAAGTTGCTATAGGTCATAGAATATGGAGAGTGGTGACAACAGTGGGATCAATCCCTACCTTAGAGATTCGACTTTCATCCTTCCTCTTGGAGCTCTGCAAAGCTTCCAGATGGTGGCGGGCACTGTCATAGTCCACCAGCTTCCTGCTGCGCTTTGCAATGCGATTCTGTCAACAGGGAAATACATGCACTAAGAAAGAGATATGGTCACAGATTCTCTTTTTCACTGCCAAAATGCTTTCCTTGTCCAGAGTAGGATATAGCTAGGATATAGCTGAGGATCTTGACTGGAGGTCAAGGTGAACCAGAATTTCAGTAGACAAATTGTCCCCGGAAATCAGATTAGAGCCTCCAATCCTTTGTGTGAAAACCACTATGTAAATATCTTCCCTTCTGATAATAATTAGGCCAATCATGAGGAGCTGAAGGCAGAATTTGTAGTCAAAGACCAGAAAAATTCCAGAATTGGTTGAGGGGAGCAGGTAAACCTATACTCTCTATTAGTCTCTAAATCTTAAATGTTCCATTTTGAAGATAGTGGAAGACTATACTAGGATGTGGTTTTATAATTCTAATAACACTCACACTAACAGCAATTCTATAAAGCAGATTTATAAAGCAGTTCTATAAAGCAGATTCTTAGGAATATGAAATCTTTTTTCCCAGAAGTGTTCCTCCATCCTTTTGTTCATTAGAATCATCTGAGGAGCTATAAAAATATGATTCCTAGAGACTTCCATTTCCAGCTAGGATATAGAGAGCTGCAAAGATTGTTACACCCACACTACTAAGAAAAAATCTGAATAATCTATAGAAGCATAATTCTTCTTGATTACATCAGAGACGTGAGGTCACAACGCAATAAAGTAATCTGAATTCCAAGAAGGACAAGTCTCTCCAAGGAGAGATGAGACACACAAACCATTTCACCTTTGGCAGGGCACAGGTAAAAGCTGTGGCCACCATACAAGTGGACAAGAAGAGGTCAGCTAAAATTTTAACAAACCGTTAAAAGCCTAGTGTGGGCTAACGTGTCAGTTTGGAATAGCTGGGTGTCCAAGACACAAGAGGAAATTTCATTTATTGGCAAGCTCCTTCCCTGGGCCTCCACTGGATACTATGAGAATGTTTAGGGACCAGACACTCCCGTGGAGTACAGGGGAGAACGAGGTGATCCATGGCTGTTACAAGGTAGGCACAAAGCCCTACCCGTTTCCACGGACATTTTTCCCTTATGAAGCAAAAGCTTTAAGCTGCTTGAGGAGGGAGCAACAAAACCTCCTGCCCACAGAGGCCAGGCAAAGACCCCCTGCTTCTAGGGGGAGGAGTAGAAGCAAAACCAATCTGGCCCTGGGGGAGGGATAGGAACCCCTCTGGCCCCCAGGATATATGCAAAATAACTGCTATACACAGAAGGGTAGAAGAAAAAGTCTAATACCCATAGGAGAGGAGCATCAAATCTTCTTGGGCCCAAGATCTGACTCCTATGACAAGCAGAGGTCTGTTCCTACTATGGCAGTGGCAGAAAACTTCTGCGCAAGACCAACCACAGACACCTGTTTATTTAAGACAGGCCAGAAAAGTATAATAGAAAACAACCCTGCCCCTACTACAAGTCTAGCACAGAATAACAAGCAGTAGCTGCCAACCACTGGAGGAAGGACAAGTCTGTGGAGAGACACCCCTCTGCACTACAGGCATACAAGGGCAACTGAAATCTGACGGGGAGCAGAAACACTGAGAAAAACTCTCTGGCGTCTATGTGGGTCAAAGAAGAGGCGAAAACTAGACTTCTACCCAAGAGTCTGAAACCATTACAGATGTTAAAATATAAGCACAAGGCATTAGCAGCCCAATTCCAGAGGAATTTGAAAGCCATAGTGCACTGAAAGTAACAACAGCGACAACAAAACCCAAATCCAGCTCAAGTTGTGATCAGATTGATTTGAACTCCCACACTAATGGTCTGACAAAAAGGCATGCCCGTTTCAGGCATAAATAGTACTTCAGTCTTCACCATTCCAGACATGATGTCTGGCATTGAATCAAAAATTATAAAACACATACACACAGAAAAAACAAAAAACACAAGAAAAACAACCCAGGAGAAAAGATAAAGCAATCAACAGAGCCAGACTCAGATATGACCCAGATGTTGGAAGTATCAAACAGGAATTTTAAAATAACTAGGACCAATATGTTAAAGTATCTAGTTGGAAAGGGTAGACAACATACATAAACAGATGGGGAATTTCAGCAGAGATATGGAAACTTTAATAGTCAAATAAAAATGCTAGAAATAGAAAAAATGATATAAGAGAAAAAATTTCTTCATTAGACAAAATAGCTGAGAAAATAAACAACGCAGTTGAAGATAGATCAAGAGAAATTATTCCCATTAAAACACAAAGAGAAAAAAGAGTCGAGGAAAAAAAAACAGAATTAATCATACAAGACCTGTAATACTGTAACAAATAGTCTAACACAGTGTAATTGGAATCTCAAAAAGAGATGAGAGGGAGACAGAAGAAATATTTCAAGAGATAATGATTGAGAATTTTATAAAATAATGAAGACACCAAAGTATAGAACTGAGGGGCCAGCCCAGTGGCGCAAGTGGTTAAGTGCGCACGCTCTGCTGCAGCGGCCCAGGGTTCGCCAGCTCGGATCGTCGGCACACACCAACGCACCGCTTGGCACGCCTTTATATGGCATCCCATATAAAGTAGATGAAGATGGGCATGGATGTTAGCCCAGGGCCAGTCTTCCTCAGCAAAAAAAGAGGAGGATTGGCAGATGTTAGCTCAGGGCTGATCTTCCTCACCAAAAAAAAAAAAAAAAGTATAGATCCGAGAAAGTCATAGAATCCCAAGAAGGATAAATTCCAAACAATACACTTCAGATCCATTATAGCCAAACTGCTTAAAATTAAGAATAAAGAAAAGCAATAAGTACAAAGGTAAGAAACATAGAAGACCAATCAGAAACTATGCAAGCCAGAGTACAATGGAGTGGCATCTTTAAAGCACTGAAAAATAAAAAAATCAAGAGATCTCAGAATTCTATTCTCAGTGAAAATACCTTCCCAACGTCAAGATGAAATAAAGATTTTTTTAAAGACAAAGAAAAGCTGGGAGAATTCATTACCAGCATAAGAATTTTCATACTAAGTGGTGCTTGGTATGAAGAAATGAGTACCAGAAATGGTAAAAATCAAGATAAATATATAAGATTTTGTTTTCTTTTAATTGCTTGAAAAGGTAATTGATAATCTAGATCAAAAAACAGAAACAACGTATTGTGGGATTTCTAACATGTGTAAAGGAAAATATACGACAATAAAAGCACAAAGGAAAGGAAGGAAGAACTGAAAGTATACTGCTGTAGGGTTCTGAGACCATCCATAAAGTTCTACAATATTATTTGAAGTTAGACATAATAAGTTAAAGATGTATATTGTAAACTGTAGGACAACCAGTGAAAAATTATGTTAAACAAAGAAGTATAACCAATAAGCAAATAGTGTAAAATATACTGATTCCTGAGCCCCAGACTAAGAGATTCTGATTAATTAGTCTGAGACAAGGCCCACTCATCTATCCTTTTGTTTTAAAAGATCCCCAGTGGTCCAGTTATGCCCAGCTAGTCTAATACTGAGAACTACGACAGAAGAAGATTCTTAAAAAACTTTAAATTTGATATGTAGGAATAAGAAAAACAATAACATAAATGTTTATGGCTTACAACACACAGTCCCATGGATCCTCATAGCAACCTACAGTATGGGTGTTTCAGGGATTATTCCCATTTTATAGGTAGGGAATTTGAAGTTGCTGAGATTAACCTCTAATTTGTCCAGAATTGCTCAGAAACTCAGAAAGTCTGTAGCAAAAGATGAATTAGATACCAGTGCCGGGGGTAGGTTGACATGAGACACCTAGGGCACAAAATTTAAGAAGGTCCTCACTTTCAGGGTCAGTAACCGAGAGTAGCTATCTCCTCATATTCTGAACCCTCGTGCCCTGACTCGGTCTCAGCCCCACTCCTGACTCTTGGTTAGTACTCCTTCTAACAGCTCCCATGTTTCTCCGACAGACTCTATCATTCAGCTACCATCTGTCATTCTATGCCATTCCTCTGAACCCCCTTCAGGACTGGTGAGAGGTGGGTTGGGGAAGTTACTCTCATTTAGCTACTTCCAATCTCTCTCACTTTACCTCTGCACCTATCACCTCCAACTGGTGTTAGCAGTGGGAAGGGTGGCTGACACACCACACTCGCTTCAAGACACGCGATGAATTAGCCCAGGCAGGGCAGAGTGAAGCCCTTCAATGAACTATGGTGGACATAGCGTACCTATGAGGTGACAAAGCTCATTATTTTTAGCAAAGCTCTGCTTTGTGGACGTGTGGAGTGTGTGGAGTGTGTGGAGGGGGGGGGGGGGGCTCTCCTTTAGTATCTTCCAAGAAGCAAATCTTGATTCTTTGAAGATGAAATTGGTTTTTGAAAAGAGCCAAAATTCAATTACTTCCAAGCTTGGGAATAAGATAGAAGAGAGTACCTTGGGTAATCTTATTTTTTGTTCAAAAACAAGAAGTGAAGTACATAATGTGACTCATTTTCTTGTGTAACTGACAAGTCAATCACAGAGTACAGCTTACCAAGGTAGAAGTCACTATTTTGAAGGCCATCACTCATTTTGATGTATACATTTTTGTGTTGGAAAAACAAATCAATCTTATTTCCTTACCTATCTGATATTTGGGAAACTTGAAAAAAGAACCAAATCTCCTAAGTAAGGGTAGAGTTAATACACATTAGCTTTTATATAGAAAATGATACAATTCTTATTTAACTATCCAATAGTAAATTTGATTAATTAAAATTTCTTCAGATTTCCCACTGTACACTGACCTTATGCAGTAAAAAAAATAATTTATTGTATTTTTCTATTTCAATAATAACTCCAATTTGGAATTCATTTTGGCACACTTCTGTAAATATATACTTAGCTGTTCACGCATGGCTGCCAAGATAGAATCTAAACTACATTTTACAATAACTACTCACAGCTGTAACCTGCCTGGGTTGGTGACAAGCTAGCTCTTATTATAACATTGATTTTAGATGTCAGTGCTGCATAATAAGAACCATAACACCAGGTGCACTGCCAATCACAGCTGGAAAAGTCAAACATCATCCCCTCATGAATGGTACTTCACAGCCCTCACTGATGGGCTGCAGTAAATATTTGGAAATTTGCCTGAGCTTTTAACTACATATGGCCTGTTGATTTTAGTGGGAGTCAAGGAAGTCAATTGTGTTCCATGCTTTGAAAATTCTCCACTCAGTATTTTGCATCATAATCCTCCTTTCCGTCAATAACCTATTCATTACATAATCACTCAGCACTAACTATATGAAGTGAGGGAGTCTGTATTCACTTCTAACTTCCATCTACTGAGTACAGGCACACAGAATAACTTAAATGCATTTTCACAGGAGAGAAGTCTTTCAAATACTAGAAACAGCTATCCTACCTACTCTCTAATTCCAAATTGTCTCCCTCCCGAGTTAAACACTGCTATTTCCTCAACTATCTTGATTGATACCCCACATGTATGCTATGATATTCTACATGTGACTTCAGAGAAAGAAAGAGAGATTGTTTCAGGCTCTTTCCAGGATGCAGGTAAAACCATGACATCTATTTCATTTATCTCCAGGGAATCCAGCTAGCCAAATCTCCAGTGTAAAGATGGTTTCATAACTGGAGGATCATCTTTGTGCATGACCTCAACCATGACCTCAAGAAAAGAACTGCTTAAGTAAAAGCTCTACTGAGTTCTTCATCTTTCTGACACGGAATGAACTGAAAAGACTAGCCAATATAATCCATCATGATTTTATTTTAATCTCTCTTCGTTTCAATGCAGGTACTTCTGTGTGTTTTTGTTTTCCGAAATTACACGCTCCTAGAGAACATGGCCAATTTCCAAATAACTATTGCTGGGCAGTACTATAACAACTAAGATCTTCCACATTTTTTTGATGATACTAAGTTTTTGTTCCTGAAATTCAATAACATTTCAAACGTGTTCTTCTCTAGCCAACCAGAGCCTGCATTCGTTTAGCTAAGTCATACTATGAACATATATTACATGAATAACTTAGACAAGTTGCAGGCTGCTTTGAAATTTTCAAGTGGGAGGACAAAGTTTTCCCTTATCCTCTTCTGATTTATTAAGAAATGATTTTTAAGGAGATTAGATTACCAAGCAATAAAAAATACTCTAAAGTGTGATAATGATTCTGAAACTGTTCTACAAATGCTACAAATTCCAAGACAAAATTTGAATGTCTATCAAATAATCTGAAGATCTCCCAAAACACATTCCCTGTAGGCTAGTGCATGCAACCTTACAGAATTTTTTTAAAAATTTTTATTTAATTTTTTAATGTCTCAGAAAATTTAAAAAAACTGATTTATACCTTTTAATTAGGATGCAATTATGCAATGGCTCAATTAAGTACTTTGCTGCCTATTATGATAACATTATTGAGAACCCATCATTTGGATCTGTTCCTTTTAACATTTTGCAAACAAGGATAACATATCTAGTCTGATCCACTTAAGTTCCTGTCTGGTGCCCCTGGTGTCCCAAAACAAACTTTGTATGTTGGCCAACCAGCTTCAGGCATTCTGTGTGGGACCAAGGAAACTAATGTCATTGATACAAGTGCTGTTTTGGCCAAGAAGTTTCACTATGTTTCATGGCCAAAGCCAGCGTACATGACTACAGATGGTTTCCTGGTGTTTGGCAATGGCTACAAAGAAGGCCAGGTAAAAGTGGGACTTCGCATCAGAAGACACTGCAGATGCCCATGAATGTTTGTTTATGACCTCCTCACTCTACAGGAAGGGCAGCACATGGCTGTCTTACCTGACACTCCTCCTTGAGCAGGGAAAATAATCTGTGGAGGGCAGATCTATTAATGTTACCATGTGCTTACATACAACCCAGATGGCTTAAAAGCCATCTTTACCTCCCGAATTAATCCCAAATCTATGATATTCAACCCTTCACTTGTGTATGTCCCTTTCAATGGATCTAAGTGTCAAATAAGACAAATGTTTTAGACAAAATATTTTTAGATCCAGATGCAAATGTATTTGAAATGCTTGTATCTTCACAGTTCAATTTGAACCTGAAAATTTCAGAGAGAACAAATATGCTGGTGTGCTATGAATATATACAAAATAAACAGTAAACAAGGAAAGATCTGATTTTGCTCTCATGTTTGCAATGAAGTTTCTCCATTCCTGTGACCGTTGTTTATTCTAATGGAAATTCTTCTCCAGTACTATATAATAAAAAGGTTTGAACATAAAGATGATTGGAATTTTTTGGTATCTCTGATTTATGACTTTATATTTCTAGGATTATAAAGACTTCTGTAGAGAAATAAAAGCTGAAGCAGTTCACTAAAGGGGAATACGTGATTTCTGTAGCTACATTTCATTTCAAACTGATAGGAACGGGATAAAAATCCTATGCTTAAATAAATGAAAAGTTACCAACTGTCGTTGATACTAGTTTGAGGACTTTTAACCCCACTCATCTCTTGCCCATGTTTCAATAAGTACATGGGACCATTCAATTCTTCCCTTTATAGACACAGAGTAAAATACCTTTATGTCGGGAAATTGGCCCAGATAGGTATCCAGTGTCAGCAAGGACCCATCCACTAGTTTTTGATGGAAGTCTTCCCACAGTACATCACATTTCTGAAAGAAAAAGAGAAATAAAGCAATAACTGCTGAATTAGTTTAATTGGATACCTTTCACCAAACTTCCAAAAACTCTGAAACTATAAAATTAGATAAGTAATACTTCCCTAGATAGTAAATGCTAGAAAGAATGTGGGTGATTTAATAATACAATAAAATTTCAAGGCAATTTGGGTACCAGTTCTAATTTACTAATATAAGCTTTCTAAGGGCTCAGTTCATTTAAAAATGTATCTCTGATTTTGAATTACGAAAGAAGGTAGAGTAGAGTTCAAAAGGTCTCCAGATCTCTACAGGGGAACATTGGGGCTAAGAGAGTGTGAAGAATTCCTCTGAGACAGCTTGCTTCTAAAACAATCCATGAAATTAGAAACCACTCCAGACAAATAACAAACCATGGCTGAAGTCTCTACAAAGAAAGAAGATTTACAGTCTTATTGGGAAGGGCCCTACTATTTATGGATTATCAACTATGATAAACACACACTGAATATTAGGTATTACTACTACTACTATCACTATGTCAAGGCATTGGGTTAAACACTTTGCATGTGTGTATGTGTGTGTGGTCATTTAATTCTCACAATAGCCTTATGAAGAAATTCTTATTGTTGCCACTATACAGAAGAGGATACTAAAGCCCAAAGATGTTACATAACTTGGCCAAGGTCATGCAGTTGATAAACAACAAACTCAGGTTTCTAGCCAGGTCTGTCTCCTCGATTTGAAGCCCCTGATCTGTCTATTATACCAGGCTGCCTCATCAGAACAGGGTTCACATCCCTGCTGTGTGATTTTGGAACACTGAACCTCTGCAAGTTTCCATTTCCCCAGTTAAACGAGTTGACTACATAAAGTGCTTCACAGAATCTGAGGCACACAGCAGGAGCTCAAGGACATCATCTCCACTTCTCTCCCATTACTACCTCCTGTCAGAGTCTGCCGCTTGTTCCCCAGTACCTACCCTTTCTTCCTTTTTAGAAATAGAATCTCCAGTACGAGGCAGGCCCGTGGCCCCTGAGGACACAGACTACATTACCCAGCCTCCACTGCAGCTCAGCGTAGCCATAAGACGAAGTTCTGGCCAATGGGATGTACTTTCAGGAAGTTTCCCTAAAAGGAGAGACTGGGCTTGTCTTCCATGCTTCCTACTTCTTGCTGACTGGAATGCAGAAACGACAGCTGCTGGCCAGCGCTCAGAGTCAACCTGAACCTAGAGGAGGCAGCCAGGATGGCAACGACGGGCCCCCGAGGCTCGCAGATCCACCACACCACACCTGGGCTGCCCACCGCCCAAGTCCTTAATGGGAAAGAGATCTAAGTTTCTATCTTGTTGAAAATCACTTTTTTTTTTCTCTATTTTCTTTGTTGCGTTTCCACACTTCATAAACGAATCCTACTTGTACAAATCCCAAATCAAGAATTTTACGCAAACAAAAACTTTAAATCTTCTGTATGAAAAGGCTCATCTTCTGATGTGAATAGACCCTCTGAACATGCAGCGCTCAGTTCCTTCACCATCAAAAGAGCCCATATTTGGATCTGCAACTGAAGATTCCAAAACCCTGGCAGCCTCAAGGACCAAGACAGGATGGCAGCCATTTCCTTTGGGAATAAATGTCAACACAGCACCTGCCATAGACAGAACGTAATGTGGTGTTCTGAAGAGCCATTAAGGCAAGTTTCTATTACTCTCTTAAAAATTCTTCTTTTCATGATGAATTTTTAATTACACACCATGAATCAGAAATTTACAAAATGAGTTAATCATTTACCATCATGATGTTGAAACACAGTGTCTTTATACTGAAGAAATGTAAGAAAATGCAATGACTTAATAATCACATTGGAAAAATGGTGTGTGGAGGCTGGTTTTGCCAAATTCGTATCCTGAAAGTTTGCAAAAGAGGTAACAGGGCCAACAAGAGCTTTCCTTGTAAATAAATCTCCGTTGTCATCTCAGTCCCAACAGGATTATAAAGATCAATGCGGGGATGTCAGAATTTTCGTGGAGCAGCCTGGGGCTGCATGGTTAACCTGTCTTTCCAAGGGCTGCACATAGGGTCACCTCATCCCCTATCAGACCTCCCCCTGAGCTGGGGCAGCTGCATCTCTTAGGTTTTCGGTGCCTAAATGAGCAGCAATGAGCTCTCCTGAAGTGGGGCATGACAAACAGCTGCTCTTCGTTTTAACAAAGAACTTGGATGTGAGAACCCCTGACAAGTGGCTTTCTAATATCAGTGATAATCACATGAACTGTGCACTATGTTGATGATGTGAAGACAGTCTATAAATGTATTATTAGTAGGTATAATTATTATTCTCATTTTGCAGATGAGGAAACTAAAGCCCGAGAAGACTAAAGAACTTGTCCAACCTCACACAAAGCCACTCCTGGTCTCCACTCCACTCTGCCTTCCTCAGAAAAGCAATACCCACTTTCTCACTCCCCGCCAGCCAGCCCGCCAGCCAGCCAGATGGCCCTCGGCTAGCAGTTGGGTCTCAGGTGTTAAGACATGTCTAGGGACAAAGCCTTTTGGAAGTTAAATTCCTGTTAGCAGACCAACTGCGTCTGTCCTCAGGTCCTGCACACCCGCGAATAGATTAGTTGGTGTTAAAGTGAAACAGATGCTCTTCCCAGCTGCTATCCCTGCTTTTGAGGAGAGATGGGGGAAGTAGGAGCGAAGGGGTGACGTTAATACACAAAATCCTGCCATGAGCCAGTTCTCCTGCTGAGGTGGGCTTGTTAAGACAGGTAGTAAGGGACAGAAAAATGCTATTCTTATTTTGAAGAAAAATAGTCTTTAACTCACAGCTTCTACTCAAGTGGTTTTATAATCATGTTCACTTCTGACTATGAGTTTGGGACAATCTGGATGGCAGAATTGCATGAAGCCTTCTGGGTACGTGGTGTTCCCTCACGATTAAGGCCCTGAATGATAAGAGGAGTTCAGGGGATCGGCTGAGTGAGCAGGACTCCTGGGAGCCTCGCAGAAGCCAGCCCAGGCCTCCTGTGCTGCAGTCCCGGCTCTCACCTCGCCAACCATTTTCACATCTTCCCGCCCATACCAGTCAGGCTCGTAGACTTCATGCAGCGACTCAGTGAGCTTCATTGAGGCCTCTTGCATGCCTAGTGGTGGAGAAAAACAGCTCCTGTTAGACAGAAATGGGTGGAGTCTCTTCCTCCTTCCCCTACTTTTCTAAGTGAGAGAAAAATCTTGAGTACTTGCCAACCATTTAAGGAAAAACTGTGAAGGCGCAACTGCTACTTGCATCTGTGGTCACATCTTCCCGTGCTGGTCTGTAAGACTTATCTGATTACATTTTCTATTATTTACACGATAGTGACAGATACTGGGTCTTGAAAAAAATCAACAAGTTGTCCTATTCTGAAAACCACAATAATAATGTGTCTTATTATGTGTGCTGTCACTTATTAAATGGCATGGAAACATAAATGTATAGGACACCTAGAATACTAGTCCGTAAAGCTAGAGAGTTCTAAAAATAATATTCACCATAAACGACTTTAAATATAAGAAATAAAGCATGTTTTTAAAAGCAGGTAGAAGCAAAATCAACAGGATTTTAGGGCATAACAGTTAAAAGTGGTTTAGGTGGCCTAAAAATTTTCAAAGAAAAAGGTTTTTCTTTTTTCCAATATTGTTAAAAGCTATATATACAGTTTTAAACCAGAACTCTTAGAAAGCTTGGAGTTCTTAAGCCTACGGGTCAGAAATTTCAATAGAGGCGTATTTGGTATGTTGCAAAAATATGGTTAATAATGGGAAATATACAAAGTTTCCAAGTGCAACATAGTGACATAAGGTATCGCCAAGTCTTTTCCAGTCTCCCCTCCACCCCTCCTTCAAACACAGAGGGTAAAGTGTGGATGGCCATGGAGATCTCAGCTCAGGGCTGAGAACCGAACAAGGGGCAGTCTTAGGCTGATGACTTGGAGAAGGGCCTGTCCAGCACCAGACTCTCCCGACCAGCTGGAAGCTGGGACCTGGCCGAGTTGGTTTCTTGGCCTTTGTCACCAGGGAATATGAAAAGGGGCTGGATAAAGGGAGAGGAGAGAAAAATCAGACTGCTGTCATTGGAAATAAAAAACACATCTCATAAACTTAATGCCAGTGAATCAAAGATGGAAAGTTTTTGTTAAACTGAAAGCTGTAACACTCTACACTCAACCATATGCTTGTTGGATTTATGGTAGTCAATTCCAGGTTCAACTGTGAGAGAAAAGAACAAAATAAAAAAGTCTAAAATGATAGAAGTATATCCTTGAACAGCATGTATAAAAACCAACATGTAATGTGGTATCTCACAGTACTTTTCAATCCCTAAGCACAGAACATCCCCACTTTCCTTCCCCTGATAAGATGCAGATACATATATGGTCCTTGTGCATTAGAAGTTTGAATGTGTTTCAGGGCCACATGAAGTATGAACGCCTACCACCTTCTCTCCACGAAGTATATCACTGAGCATGTTAGAGGATGCCCTTTTCAATGAAGTGTACGCCCACACTGGCTGTAACAACTTGGCAACCACAAGATGTAGCCCAGCAGGCTAGGGTAGGAAAGAACAGTGATGACTCAAGTCTCTGGGCACTCTGACGAAACAGTCATGGAGGTGCAGGCACAGCCAAAAAGTAATACAAAAATCTGCGTCCATCTGCTAGCACTGCGAATCCAAATGAGGGAGAATCTCTCTTGTACATGTGGTCACCACTGAGGTGGCAGCAACATCATCTCAAGCGTCCGCATTCACCCCTCCCTAGGTACAAGGAAATCTATACAAAGAAACTCCTCCAAATCACACCAAAAGTGAGTCTCTAGTTATCACTCTATAATTCAGATGCCAAAAGGCTTCTGAAGTTTTCTTTTAAATCTTTATCTTAAGTCTGATGGAAATTATAAACAGCTGTATCAATAGGTTCTTAATGTCTTAAGAAGAAGAAAAAGAAATGATGGCATGGTAGGACAAACAAGCTTTGTGGTGAAAACAAAACTGAATGTAAGCTTAAAATAAAATTATATAATACCTTACTCATTGAGGCTAAAAGCACAATGTTGCTTTTATGTCTATGCTAATATGTCTATTAGCAGCCAAAAATAACATGATTATAATTGCTATGTGGATAAGTAGTGATGGACAATTGAGAAATAATACATTTTGACATAGAAATTATTTCTAAAATACTCCAGAGGAAGTACTCTGACAGACAGGTGAACAAGACACAAGCCTTTCTCTTAAGGGGCATAAAGACCAGCAGAGATTTTAAGGATTTAGAACTCATTCTGCTGATAGAGCATAAGAGAAAAAAAAAAAAAAAGCTAAAACCCAAGTTTCCTTCAAAGTAATTTGGCAACATTAAAGCAGAACAGATGCTAAATGGCATTTAATAATCTCTAATATCTAATATTTTTTTAAAAAGTAGTGATTTCCAAAACTGCAAGACAAGTGTCCAACATCATTTATAGAAGAATTCTTATTTTACTACTGGATAGGAACCACTTTCCTCTCTTTAAGATTTTGGACCTTCTCCAAGGCAGTTACTGCAGTATGCTCTATTTCCACTTGCAACCAAATCTGTGAGCTTCTGTTTTCATCGTCTAAGATTTGTTGCACAGATCGCACTGCTACAAGGGTCCTCTTTGCTTGAACAGCCCGAGGGTATATGTTTCAGTTAAAAATAACATCAGTTAAAATACATTATGACAATAACCAGCAGCAGCTATAAACCACTAAAAGAGTATCTAAAATATTGCAAGTATCTGGCAGCTTCACCCATTGTTTAGAAGAGAGTTGTTCAAGAAGACAGCAGTTGCCTCAGAGGAAAGGAAGCCTTTCTCCCTGAGTCTCAAGGAGGAGAGGAGCAAGAGTTTGGGGGAAAACAGGCAGATTGTGAGACAGCTCAAGAACAGTCAGCCCTACTGCCGGGGTCCTGCTTACACATAACAAGTCACACACAACTAACAAATGTTAATTATACCACCCGGACCACGCGCCACCTAGAGCTTGCGCGTTCATTACCTCTGTGTCTGGCCTCCACTGCCGCCCACACGCCAATGATTCCTAACTCCAAATCCCCACTGGACATCTCCATGTGGATGTCCTACCAGTCTCTCAAACTTCACATGTCCAAAACAAACTCAGAACTTTCCTACCAAAACCTGCCCCTACTCCTTTTCCCAGTCCTCGTGAATGTCACCCAGCTCTCCCGGTTAGAAAACTGGAAGTCATCCAAAATTCATCCCCCCACACTGAACTTGTCACCATGACACACCAACTCTGCCTGATTCTCAAACGTAGCCCCTCCTTCCACACCCACTGCCACTGCCCTGCAGCAGGCCTTCATCATCTACTATTTAGATTAGAAGAAATAATCCATGTAAATGGTCCAGCAAAGTACTTACACACAGCAAACATTCAAATGTCAGCCATCGTTATGAAAAATATTTTTGGAGGTAGGATGGCATAATAATTAAGACTACTATTTGCAATTAATTGGCCTTTGTTAAAATCTTGGATCCATCACATATCATCTGTGTGATCTTGGGAAAATTACCTAAGTTTTCCAAAGTGTACATTATTCATAAATAATAGTACATGCCATATGTTGTAGTGAGAATCATACGAAATGAGGCAGTAAAAAGCTTATGTCAGTGCCTGGCACATAAGTGCTCAATAAATGTTAGCTATAATTATTATTAAATTATTGGACTAGATTTCTAAGAAGTCTCCTCACAGTTTCATTTCCTCTAGCCTGAATTACACACAACTACAATTATTATTTTTCTAAAACACTAATCTGATCATGTGACTCATTCCCTTGCCTACAATAATGTAATGACTCCCTTCTTCGTTGACAGAATAAAACCCCAATATGATACAATCCATAAGTACTTCTTTATACAATTGCTGCCTACCTTTCCACATTTCATCCAGCTCAGTTTCCTGCTTGTACTTCAATGATCTACTTGTTCCCTAAAGAATCCATGCATTCTCCTGCCTCTTGGGCCTTTGTATATGTTGCTTCTTCTACCTGGAAAGTCCTTCCAAAGTCAACCCCTTTCTCTGGCGTATCTTATTACCTGATGACTACGTATGCCCCCTTCCTGGGCCCATTCAAGTGGAAGTTCCTTGGGGAGACCACTCCTGACCCAGTCTCCTGCCCTCAGCTAGAGTGGGGGGTCTATCCTCCGATGTGAGAGGATACAATATTTAACAATTCTGTTAAAATATGTATCACTATGCATATTTGGTCTTCTGTTTATTCAGCATTCTCCCCATCTCTACTGCAAGCTCCACGATAGCAGGCACTGTGTATTGTTCATCTCTGCATCTCCAGCTCCTAGAACAGTGTCAGGCCCGTAAATGAGGCTCAGTGAGATGTTTGCTGCTAAAATGAATGAGAGCATAAGATTTACCTCGGAAAGCCCAAGCATCAGCAGAAATAAAAAAGACCTACAAAGGTGAATGCAACCCAGAGATTAGTGATAATAAGATGAAGAGTAGAGTTCATTTAACCCAATTTCACAGAATCCCAGTTGCAGAGATTTTGGGGGCTTCTGAGAGCAACTGCAGCACTTTAGCTGAGGAACCCAAGGCAGCTGAGAGGCTGAGTGATTTTCCCACAATTGCCCCTGAGATCAGACCCAGGGCCCCTCACTCTCCAGGCAGATCTCATTCCTCTATAATGATGCCTGCATTACAGGACAATTAGTTGGCTAAAGTTCTTTTCATGAAAACCAGAAAAATTGGCCAGGAAAGCACTTTGAAAATGCAAATTATGATTTAGTTGAGGCATAACCCGTGTCTTTAAGTGTTTTCCCAAAATGCAAAATGTGCTCCAAGGAACGTTAATTCTTTCTAAGATTTTGAGATGAGAAAAGCATTCCACAGTCAAATAACTGGGAACTGCTGCCTACCCTACAGGCCTCCTGGAGATTGCGTTAGCATTTCAAGGGCCTGATAAACTCTGTAGTAACCCGTTTAAAAATTCATTCCGACCAGACTTCGCCAAAGTAATTTAAACATAAATCTCTCTTAAGGAGTATCATTTGTTAACATCACTCAATTAGCAAAACGTGATTGGGGAAAAGCTGATATAAGGTCCTTTCTCCTTCCGATGGAGACGTGGCCGTTAGAAGTGGAATGCAGGGCACAGTCTGAAGGAAAGGCTGCCCTGATGCTCCACCCAATGTCTCTGCGAGCTCGCTCTTCACCCAGTGGATTCTCCTTCCAGATCACATTAAGGAAAATAATTATGTCAGTCTTTTCAAACAGCTTTCTCTGTACCAAAGAGGTAAAATAGATCAAAATATATAGACTTGGGAAAGAGACTGAATTTGCTCATTTAACAAATTCAAACGCTTCAAAAAAAAATCAGCTAACACAGAGAAAATCCTGTGCTTGAAATAATATACAACCTCTTGTGTTCAAATCCTGAGTCAATAGAAAGAAATACCCAGAGGGCCTTCTATTTTCTGACTGAATTGTTATAAATACTTAAGGTTAATTTCTTTAGAGCAGTTAATTACCAGCTCTATGAATTTGTGCAAGTCAAATTCTGTGAGCATTACTTCTTTGCAAACGTAAAATAAGGCTAATGTCATTTGTCACACAGCTGTGTGGGGTGGTTACAAAGAGGTGATATGCCTAGAATGCTTAGTACACAACCTAGCACATAGTAAGTGCCCATTAAAGGTAATAGCAGTAAGTTGTCATTATTCCATTGTACAGATGAACTCTAATTTGTGAAACCAACGCCTGATCAATGGTCACATAGTTCAAAGGCAATCTAAGACAGCAGAAAAAGGCAAGGCCTGACGGGACACACAGACCAGAGTAGTATCCTGGCCCTGCTATTTACCAGGTTCATGACCTCGGACAAGCTACTTAATTAACCTCTGTGCCTCGATTTTCTTATCAATAAAATAAAGTTAATAAAAGTACCTGCCTCAGAGAGTTATCATGAGGATTACAATTATACGCCTGGCATATAAAAGCTCAAATAAATTTCAGTTTAAAAATCAATTTCACTAACTTTTTTATTATAATGACTAATTTTTTATCATTAAAATTTTCATTATTTCATTATTTATCACTATCTTTGTAATCAATGTCACGGATACATATTGAAACTGTTAGTATAAATTCTTAGAAATGGAACTGCTGTGTCAAAAGGCATGCCAAAAACAAAATAAACAAAAAACCAATGCATTTAAAGGCTTTTGCCAAAGTGCTCTCCAGGAAAGATATCTGACCAGCAGTATATGAAGGGGTTTGCTCCCTACACCTTTGCCTTATTATGGTCTTTTTAAAAAAATTTTAATGTCTTTGAACATTTGGAAGAAAAATGACAGCATCTCCCTTTTCTTTTTTTTTCTGGTGAGGAAGATCAGCCCTGCGCTAACATCTGCCAATCCTCCTCTCTTTTTTGCTGAGGAAGACTGGCCCTGGGCTAACATCTGTGCCCATCTTCCTCCACTTTATATGGGACGCCACCACAGCATGGCTTGACAAGCGGTGTGTCAGTGCACGCCCGGGATCCGAACCAGTGAACCCTGGGCCGCCGCAGCGGAGCACGCGCACACTTAACCGCTTGCACCACCGGGCCGGCCCCTCTCCCTTTTGATTTTATCTAATATTTTTTGATTACTCATGAGGATAAGCGATTTTCACATTTATTATCCATCTATAGATCTTCCTTGGCTAATTTTCTCTTCCTATATCTACTCATTTTTTTCTTTTAATCAACTAATTTCATGTAGTTTACTTACTGAGCTCTTTACATCTTGGTTTACTTTCATTAACTATGTTGTCAAAATCGTGTTTCTTTTTAAACACATGTATATCAGTTTTATATATTTATGAGGTCAAATCTCTCAATCTTTCCCTTTATGGTTTCTGTCTTTAGGATTACCCTTGTAAGGACCTTGTCACCCAAGATTAGAGACTAAATCTACTGTATTTTATTCTAGTACTTTCAAACATCTCTTTGTATACATATTTAACTAGTCTTTACTGTATTTGGGATTGAGAAGGAGGGAGTAAAGTGTAAGGCTGGGAATTGCACTTTTTTCTGAGCATTTGGCCAGTTTATCCAAGATCCCTTGTCAGACGATCCATTCTCTCCCCACTAATCTCAAAATCTGCCTTATGATCCATCACATCCTGGGTGCACTTGGACTTGACTCCCTGCAGGCTGCTGAATAATGCAGAGCAGGCAGAGGCGGAACACACCTTCCTACTGCTCTCTTTCCTCCCTCCACCACTGGCCTCATTTCTATGCCTTGCATGGCTGAGGCCAGAAACCAGTGCCAGGGCCTCTCTGTCCCATGCAGTGGGGGTCCCCCAAGTCACAGGCAGTCCAGGGCCATGATTCCTGGTAAGACTCCACCTGCCTCTGCTGCTGTTCCTTCCTCCTTCCAGCAAGAGGGCTTAAAGGTGTGGTCTATGAGGGTTCTACTCTTGGGACATGCCCTCCCTTGGGATGTAAACCAGCTGCAGCTTTTCTTAAGGTCTCAAGCTCACTCTATCTAAGAACTCTTCCTAGAAATCTCTGGCACATGGGAGGCACTTATTTCTAGTTTCCAGCATGAGGGCAGACGTATTTTTTCCTTGTATTTTCTGATTATCATTTCAATGGGAATTTGGGAGTGGGTGGAATTGAACACCTGTGCTCAAGTATTCATCTTGCCAGAAAGCCAAATGACTTCGTAATTAACACTCAATTCTGTCAGTGGTGAATTCCAAGAACAACCTGTGCTTGGTAACATGCAGTAAACAATCACACACGTTACCTTTGATAGCTGCTAAATATCCTCGGAGTTCTCGCTGAAGTCTGGTACCCTCTGCCTGAAAGACACACCAACACAGAGATGCTAAGCATCTTTTCTATATTTTGCATGCAAACATGTATGAAGCAATAAGTCTCAGAGTTATTATTGCCAGAGGCTCATTCTTGAAAGAACATAAATATGTGAACATAGACTAAACAAGGTGCCCATCAATCTAGATATTTACAGAGATTTTACTCAGCTTAAAAGAAAAGGAGAAAGCAAGTAAGGTTTTGCTAAGAATGGAAACTATGACCCACCATACAGCCTCCTACACATCCAAGAGCTAGCAAATCTCTGAATTTTGACACATGGGCTACAACAGTAGAGAAATGGTCACCACTGTGCGATTTAGTAGCCACAGCCACATGAGGCTATGGAGCACTTGCAACATGACTAGTCCAAATGGAGATGTACTGTAAGTGTAAAGTACACTCCAGACTTCAAAGACTTAGTACCAAAAAATAAAATATCTCATTAATATGTTTTATATCAATTGCATGTTAAAATTATAATATTTTCGATATATTGAGTTAAATAACTGTACTATTAAAATTAATTTCACCTGCTTATTTTCACTCTTTTAAATGTAGGCACTAGAAAAATTTAAATTACATTATGTGGTTTGCATTACATTTGTATTGGACATTACCGAAATAGAGAAATTGTTGACATGTAAATTTTGACATATAAGTCCTTGTTTTGGTTTGGATTACCCTTAGAGACTCTGAGACTCTAATCTGAGATTAGATTGCAATTAGTTTAATCTGAAATTAATCCAGGAAATGTCAATAGGGGCGTGGAGAAGTGAGGCAAGGAAGGGAAGAGAACCAACACAGGGTGTATTATCAATCAAGTTACCACAGTGGGCAACCTGACCTGAGGCCCACTGGGAAATTCTGGGAGATAGTGTCAAATACCCGACAGATATCCTAACCAAGGGGCAAGGGAGCTGGGGCATTTATCCATCAACTCCTGTCAGTCAGTGGTTGAGGGCTGCTCCTGGGGGCATTAATTCCCCTACTACATCCACACAGGGGCAGAGAGCTCTCTGGTAACCAAAGAAAGCTCTCAGGCAAAGAGTGGCCCTTGCTGGCAGCTGTAGCTAAGTCCAATGGGCTTAGAAAAGCTTAGACACTAGGAGCACATGGCTGGGCACCCACAGTGTGTGCTATGACACTGCAAGCGAAAAATATAAAAAATATATGCATTTTAACTGCATAATCATTTAACAGAACTGCAGAGAGCTAGCATTCAGAATGACTCCACCTTGATAGTTAATAATATAACATCTATATTATAACTGTAACTTGAGAGTTAATAATATAGTTAATAATATAGCAACTATAATAGCCATATTCAATTCAACAAGCATTTGTTAGTATTTACCAAAAAATGGGAGGAAAGGTGAAGAGAAAAAACCTACTTCCTTCAGTAAATTACTATCTCATAGGGGAATAAATACCTAAACAAAAAACTGCAAAACTGCAAAGCAGATTACATTTAGCTCTGCAACAGCCATTCAAAGGTTTTGGTGGTAAAAAGAGAAGGAAAACTGCCCATCATATTTAAAGACAGATAGTGATTAATGCAAAGAAACTCTGAAAAGAGGCGTTTAAGACCATGCAGGACCCCAAAAGGGATTCTGGATGCGAATATTCTCCTATAGGTAGGGCTCAGGTGTAGTGACATTATTTCTGTGAAATCTGTGTAACACTCAGGTGAGGTCCGCTTTATCTGCATTACGCTCCAGCTGTTTTTGTCAGCTCTGTAAACCCAGGTACTACCAGATAAGAGTTGAGGGTTCATTCATTTTCTGGCACATATGAACTTCAACCAAAACAGTTTTATTCAGAAGGGCAAAACAGAAATCATCCAAGTTCCCAACAACTGACTCCCTTTCTCGTGTCTCAACGTGGTTTAAAATCGAAACTCTAGATTTCGCTTGACTTGCTGAGCCATTCAGAAATATAGAGTGAAGCAAAGTTTCCACAAGCTAGATAAAAAAACAAACCAGGGTGGATTTCCAAAGCATCAAAGTATAAAGAACACTATTTCTAGGGAAAGAATGGGGAGAATGAAGAGAAAATGCTGATGATAAACACCTGGGTAAAGGTAGCGGCTGAAGAGGATCCAGAGAAGAAACAAGTGGAATCACGCTGAAGTCCTCAACGCCACCAGGAAAAGAAATTTGGGAAAGAAAGAAGTAGGTCTTTCCCCTACGTAATATCTGTTCTGTGACTGGCACCATGTCAGATTCTGAGTACATAAAAAACCGAAAAGATATGGCGCTGGGAAATTTTGTTGTTGTCAAATCCCCTACGCATCTCCCTACAGAGCAGTTTGGGGAGGACTATACTTTCCGCCCATCAATATCAGGCTTCGCCATGGGATTTGACTTGGCCAACAAAATGTGAGTGGAAGTGACATGTGCTACTTCTGAGCAGACGATGTAAAAGCCATCATCTTACCATTTCAATTCCCTCTATCCTGAGCTCTGTAATGTTCCATACAGGAACACAGAGTGAAGGGAACAGGAAGCACAGCTCTCGTTCTCATTTTCACGTGCCAGAAATAAACCTCTATTATTGAAAGCCATTGAGGTATTGCTACCACAGTATCACCTACCCTAAATGACCTGATAAAATGGTTCACCGTCAATAGTGGAAATGCTGAAAGATGGATAAGGCTGAAATCTAATGGAAAAAAAAGCCAACGGAGTTAGCAGAAAAGCACTAAAGGCATTTACAGAAACATTTCAGAAAGGAAATCAAATTGGAAAGATTAAGGACAAAGTGGATGGTTTAGCAAATGGAAGCCCAAGTGCTGGTCAAGTGATGGAAAGAAGTAGAATGGTACTAAAAGAGGACAGCAAGGCCCAGAATCATTTGTCCCAACAGACGGCAGATAATTTAGAGAGAATAATATCTGAAATCAGACGTGATTTACCCTGACAGATCTAGACGCAGAACAATCTAAAACCTACAGCCCTAAAAGGTGCAATTAGGAGGGTTTGAATCCCTAAGGCCACATTTCTCAAAATGGATAAGTGTAGACCTTGGGGGTACTTAATGGTTTGTCTATAGCACATAGAGCCACAAAATAAACCTAAAACATCTCTCTGGAATATCAATTTATTGAGGTTGGAGGGGAGCAAATGGAGGAGAAACCATTATTTTACACCACTAAGCCACCTGTTAACCAGCTCTGGTGGTTAAGAGTCACGCTCTCACCACTGAGGCCCAGTTTGTTTCCAGGTCAGGGAACCACACCACTTGTCTGTAGTTGTCATACCGTGGTGGCCACATGTTGCTATGATGCTGAAAGCTCTGCCAAAAGTATTTCACATACCAGCAGGATCACCCATGGTGGACAGGTTTAGCAGAGCTTCCAGGCTAAGACAGACTGGGAAGAAGGACATGGCTACCCACTTCTGAAAAATCTGGCCATGAAAACCCTATGAATAGCAGTGGAGCTTCTCTGATACAGGGCCAGAAGGTGACAGGATGATGCAAAAAGACCGTGGGCAGTGTTCTGCTCTGCTGCACACAGGGTCGCTAGGAGTAGGAACTGACTTGATGGCACTAACAACAACAAAGCCACCTGTTATGATGTAGAGTGAAAAACTGCATAGAGATGAAACACAGAACTCCACAGACATCTCCTGCTTTCAGCTGCCTGCTTTAGGGCTCTGCTCATCTACTGTTTGTGGTCCTTCCCTGGAAAAGTGAGAGGCACTGAGCTAAGGCAGGGCTCACTTCTCACCCAGAAGGATGCTTTCCCCTCAGAAAGTAATACAAAGCCTGCCACAGTAACTGATGGTTATGAGTCACCACGACTGGTCAGAGTATCTGGAAATAGCAAAAGAGTAGTGGGTAAGGGCATTCTTTTCCCAAATATTTAAGGAATAAAGCCTGTCAAATTAAGGCCACAATTAAGTCGCTGCCTTTTCTTTAGAACAAGAAAGATAATGAAATAATGCAGGCTCCAATCCATACACTGTGTTCATATTACCCAAAGGAAACAATAAACATTTTTAAAAAATGAAATAAGATTCCCAGAAGAGACTTTTTAGGTATTACAAGAGTGGAAGAAAGTTCAAATTATACAATAATGGCTTAAATAGATGAGTTCAATGTAAGCAGATAAACTGGAGACTAATTTAAATAACTTTCTTCTTTTCCAATTATTAAAATTTTTAATTTCCCCCATGAGTATTAAGGTTCATAAATCATTTGGTAATAACCATATTGAATTTCATCTAAAATTCCACCTGAATCAAATAGGTAAAAGGCTCTGGAGAGAAATTTTTCCCCTACAATATGTCATAGAGTAGTTGTGCACAAAACCTATTGCATAATTAAAATTTTATTAACATTGTTATTCTATGTGAATCACAAAGATGTTTTAAATTAGAAATAAATTCTTCTAGCACTGCTCATATTTCACTGAACCTGAAGTTCATTCCAAATTCCTCTGAAAATTACCATTTCATTAATTCAGCCTTGAATTATGTATTGTGCTTGTGTTTGTGCAGAGAAGAGATTCGAAATTCCGCAACCTTTATATGACATATGTGTATTTTCCCTTCTATTTCTTTATGTCATTCTCTACAAGATAAGATAAAATTATTATTCTATCTCCTGGTCACACTCTTCTTAAGGCTTATGGCAACTGAGGGCAAGTGAGTCTATTATAATTAAGTTGTCTGCATTGCCTACTAATATACCTCTTTGGACAAGATACAAGAAGGATTTGCCACCTACAAAATTCCTTGCCCTGGCATATAGTATAATAACGTGGCTCTGGTGTTAGTCAGAGGTTCTTAATTTACTTATTCAATTGAATCATTTATCAGTGTCAGGAGCTGCTGCCTCTCAAGCCCAGACAGTCCCCCAGGCCTCTCTTTCTTCCCACACAGCCCGAGGGAGTTGGCCTGTTTTTCCTTCCTCGTTAAAGCTAGTCCCACCCTCTCCCTCCCTTGAGTGTCACACTCTTGCAGGGCTGGGGGAGAAGGAA